TAGTTCAGGATGGTCTTAAACTCACTAGGTAGCCCAGGCTGGCCACAAAATTACACTGATCCTCCTGCATCTGAGTCCCAGGTGCTAGGATTTTAGGCATGAGTTTAAATGCCCAGATGAAAAACATATTATTAAATAAATTTTCAATAGAAAGTCATGAAATAATTCAGAAATATTTAGAATTAAGTAATGGTTGGGAAAAAACACTTTCAGTTACATATATAGCTTTTAAGAAATACACAGCAAAAAATCTCATCAAAAACAACAAACAACTAGTGGAAACGGAATGAATACATTTAAAAAAGATAATCAAGATGGAGTAATAAGAAAGAGGCAACAGGAAAACACATAACAAAAATGAGAAAAAGAACAAGGATAATGGACATACTACTAGTTTCTGAGAAAAGATCTCACTATTTGACCCATGCTGGCCATCAACTTCCTGTTCCTTTTGTATTAGCCCCCTGAATGCTGGCATTATATATGCACACAACTGGCACCTCTGTAAAACAGGATGTTTTAAAATAAAAAAATAACAATTATCACTTAGTTTTAGATGGGAAAATTCTCACAAATACATAAAAGTACAAATATACCAATGGAAGAGGCATATGGTGCAGAATGAAATAAGTGGGCAAGCATCCAAAGTGATAATAAACTTATCTCCAGTGGGTTTTCAAGTAATTCACTGAAATTTTTCAGACATTGATCAAGACGCTATTTGTATATGTACAAATTTCCCAGGATGAATATATTTATTACATATAGCAAATATATATAAATATGAACATTATAATAAAAATGAAAGTCAGCTGAGCCTGAAGTGTTTGTAATAAAAAATGGGTAAGAAATCTCTGCAGCTTATGTCACCAGGCTAATTTACTTTTTACCTAAATAAATCCAGACATGTTTGTAACAAAAGGCAAAATATAGGCCCATTATACATATGAATGCAGATTTTAAAATACAGAATAAAACACTATCTAGTAAAATATAAGGGTGTACTAGAGAATAGTTCCTTTACCTAAATCCAGACAGCATATTTATAAAAGACAAATACAGGCAAATTATACATATGCATGCAGATTTTCAAATCCAGGATAAAATATTACCTAGCAAAATGCAAGGGTATATTAGAAAACAGTTCCTCATTTTTGTATGTAGCTGAATGGTAGCATGTTTCTGTAGCCTGCATGATGCCTTACGTTCAACTTCAGTATCACATATATGAAAAAGTAACGATATGATAATGAAGTTGTGTTCATTCTTATCAAAGATTGTTCCGTATCATTGAACTCTGGTGAAACTCATCACAAAACAACAAAGAACTAATCTGATTATTTGGATCTTGACAAAAATATTTTCTAAAACTTAATTTTTGTTATTTCTTAAAGGTGATTAATGAATAAAAACACCATAATCTGATTAAAAACATGACAACACACATATACCATAAAACTAGCAAATGCTACGATGAATGGAGATACAGTACATGAATTATTTCAAAAGCAGAAATAAGTCAAGGATATTCACTGTCTCCACTATTTTGTCACAATAAACAAAAATCTACGTATTATCTTGGGACAGGCAGGCAAGACAAAAAGTGACAAAAAGATTGAAATAAAAGAGATAAAATCTCTATGTATGAATGAAGAAAGAATCAAGATATAAAATGTGAGAATAACAGAAAGACTGTTGTCAAAGCCAAGATCAATTGGAAAGAAGTCAGTTTCTCACAATTTTAATAGTCATTGAAACTCTGACACCACATGATACACAACCAGAACACAAATTATAAGTAAATACAGCACTCAAACATTTTGATCTGAAGGTTAGTACACAAAAAAAAACTACAGAAAAATCTAAAAAGCTGTTAAGAACAATGTTTAGCTGGTTATCAGTGAAAATAGAAAAAAAATGTTATAAATAGAATCTAGAAGTGCAAAATGTCCCTATGCCATGTGGATACAATGAACACTGTAGGAAAAAACCTACATTATCAAATATACATTTAATTAGAAAATCGAACCTATTTAAAATCTAAAATACTCTGAAATAGGCCTTGAAAAGAGTCAACTAAATGCTCCCACCTGCTTCCTCAGTCTCTGAAAATACGTTGTTTTGTTAATAAATATGCTTCCTCACATTATGGAAACTTAGATGTGATCTAACTAACACTCAACCAAATTCTAAAATCCTTTAAAAATTATTGTATACTATATCAAAAAATTTTTTAAGTCTATAACATCTCTAAAGAAAAAATCATATATACAATAAAATCTGAGAATCAGGAGAATAACGTAAAACTCAGATTTGATGATGTAATATGCTACACATTTTTAAATTATAAGTTTAATACTACTATATATGTAATACCAATAAAACAACTCTAAATTTAACAAACATCAACTAGATTTCCTTCTGAAAAACAAAGGACACTGTTACATTTTTCAAATCTCAAATAAAAAAATTAAAGGAGATTTCTTTCTCATTATTAGGAACGTGCTGTAGTTAGTCACTTAAACCTGAAACTCAGAGAACACATAGTCAAACTAAATTTATAAGTATCAAGAAATGCATTTGTGGGGGCCAGGAATTTAGCTCAGTGGTGCCGCCACCTGCCTTGCAAGCACAAGGTTCCGAGTTCGATCCCTGGTACCAGGAAAAAAACCAAACAAATAAAAAACAAACATTTGCTTGAAACAAACTCAGATTTGATAAGGTTGGGCTGTCTAGTTGAATTTGATGCCAGTATGAACTACATAGTTGGATCCTGTCTCAAAAAACAAGTCAAAAAAAGAGAAAAGAAAATCCAGGAACGAGGAAATCTTCATAAATAATATTGTAAAGCAACAAATGGTACCAAATTAGAAGGCACAAAAACCTTAGGGTTTAAGTTTAAGAAAGAAAATATTTCATGAAATTAATATGAGATGGAAAAATTACGAGAAGGAATACTAAATTCTCTACAGGTGACAGAGATACCCAAAACAAAAAGATTTTATCAAAAAAAAAAACTTCATCAAAAATGTGAAAATATAAGTAGCTATTTTATACAAGGGCTTACACAGGAAAAGAAAAAGCATTAAATCCTGATAAAAAGGAAAAGACTTCATAAAACTTCCCTATAAATCCTTGAAACTCATCAAATTAGAAAAAGCTTAAAGTTGGTTGACTACAAGAAATAGAAAGTATAGCCCACTGGTGGGCGTAGTATGGGTGGTGTACATTAAAATTTAAATGAATGCATACTCTGTGCACCAGCAAACAGGGACCTGTGCCCTGGGCATCCATGACATTTTCTCAAATCTGCTTCTAGGGCAGCAAAAGAATGTGCCTGGGCATTACACCAGTGACAGAACTACTCAAGCCTGCCTTCTATAACTGGAAAGCCAAACAAGATGCTATGGAGAAAAATGGTGGAGACCCTGTCAGGAGCTACATGTCCAGTGTGCAAATAAATCTGGAGAATAATATTGAGTGAATTAAATAAAATACAGGATGAAATCTCTAACATACTCCCTTTTGGGCAAATAAAACCTAAATATACATGAGGCTGATATACATGATAGCTCAGTGGTAGAGCACATGTACAGTACTCATCAGTATCTAGGGTCTACAGCCAGCATAAATAATGCATATGGAGCTATAGTGTATAATCCAGTAGTGTTAAGCAAGTGTGTTCCACAAGTAGTGTTCCACAAGTGTGGAAAGAAGACAGAACTACAACAGGGCTATCAAGCAGAGAACTAGTGATATTTGGGTCCAATGTTTCATTCTTTTGAGGGCTGTCCTGTGGGTTAACACAACACTGATCAACATCTTCTTGACCTCTACCCAACCTATAAATCCTGCTCATGGTCTACACCATGATTTTAACAAAACAGTTGACATATCTTCACATGTTTTCTGATGTGCACAATCACCAATGCCTGAAAACCACTGACTTAGCAGGTGCTAAAGACACATAAGTTCCCGAATGACAAGATACCCAGAATGGGCAAACGAAGACTACAAGAGCTTCCAAAATTCTCTGCATACCAAACCCAAGCAGAATGAATGACACTACCCAAAGCACTCTTTCTCTGATGTATATTCTCTCCTTGTTCCTATCACTTAAAATACTTTTCAGATGTCACTAGTGTAAAAAGCAAAACTAGGCTCCACTACTTGATGGTCGATGATGATATCCCCTGGGAGATGTAGAGGATAGGCTAAGGGGTGCCTTGAATTGAAGCTCTATGCTTTACCTCAACTGTGCCTTTCTCCATAGGCCATTTCCACAGACTTCTCCAGGATGACAACATGGAAGTTGTTTTCAGAGTTTGGGGAACCCAGGAGACACTTAGGGGGATTTTAGGGACTGCACTCTCTTGTCACTTATGGAACACATCACAAAGGCTCAGGGTTATCTCTTTCCCCAAAAGATATAAATCACTACAAAGTGAAAAGAATCTTTGATCAGACTTGCCTTCAGCCCATTAAGTTCACTGTAGTGGGGTTATAGCAGTGAGAGACCCAACATAAAAAGGCAGAAGTTGAGCCAAATTAGAACTAGAAATGGAAATATTTTCTCTTTAGCATTGCACAAGTTTGATGTTTTATGTTCTAACTGTTCAACCCTGTGTCTTCACTGTAAGTTTTAGCCTATTCCCTTGTCATACTGAAATAAAACCAGATAATATGACCAGAGTGTGCGGCCTCTTTATAATACCACATGCACACACACATGGAAACAAAACAAAACAAACACACAAACCAAGAAAATCCGTGTTCTCTTTTTTAAACAGTACACATATTATTCTCCTGGTTGGTTTTCTATGGAGAATCTGATTATTACAGCATTCAAAACAGGAAACAATCCAATGAATGTCATGTTCTAAAACTACTTTTGAAGAGTTGAAGGAATGAGTCTACAGATACTGAATTTCAAAAGGAAAATATCATGATCCACCTAAACGAAGTTGAAAGTAAAACATACTGAAATGCATAGAACATACCTGATCAATCAAACGTCACTGTCAAGTCTTGCATCCTTTAAACCTGCTCAAAATACTTGCCTTGATCTGTGTTGTGGAAATACAGTCACCCGGTCATCCACTTAGGATGTTTCCAAGGACTCAGGGAGCTATTCTTATTTCCAATAAAAACTCTCCTAGCATCCTCCTTTTGGTTCAAGACCTCATTCCACAATATTGTGAGACCACAATTTCTTTTCTTTACCATTGTGAGTAAAGGTATGACATAAGCAATTGAGGTGATAATTTGGGGGGTTGCTGGGTATGGAACACAGGAGTTCACTGCATGCTTGACAACACTATACCCGTGTCACATCGCCTGTAATGTTAAACTTTTTTGGATTCTCATGGCCCTTATCAACACCTATTATAAGTCTGGCAATGTGAGGAAATATTGGAAAATTAGAATTCACAGTGAATACAAAAAGGCAGAGGTCTGACATGAATTGTGAATGAAAGGCCCTGCATTCCACACATTTATAAATGTCCGATTCACCAGGTCTGCTATTAAATGGAGCGCGACCAGGGCACACCATAGCTGCACCCAACTCTGACCCACACCTAAATCTCCCCACTTCTCCCCAAATTTGGCTGTGCCTGGAGCCACCCAAGATGACATTGTAGTCTGGTAGTGTCACAGTGCGGTGAGGATGCAGGAAACCTTGAACTAACCCTGACCTACCACAGGGATAAAGGGACAAAAAGCACCAAACACCAGGAGGACCTCAGTGTCTGGAATTAAGCAGGTAGGCTCTAGTTCCCCAGAGCTGCCTCTGGGCATTTCGTTTCAGACCGCACCCCCCACCCCCGACTCCATCCTTTCCCCAGCTTCAGCCCCACATCACCATTGCGTGACTCAGAGTCTCCCAGAGTCCTTCCCAAGCAGCCTGCAGCCAGTAGAAGTCACAAAAGGCCGTTTCCAGGGTTGGCTACCAGCAGAGCGCAGCTAACAAGAATTTCGGCGCCATGACACCGGAAGGAACCTCCTACCTTGACCCACCTGATTGGACAAATCATATAGCCCGCCTCTTTATTGCAGATTGACGTCTGTTTCCTCGTCCTCCCTCCTAGCCAACAGCGAAAAGGAAAACAAACCTTACCTACAAGAGTGGATCCCAAATGAAAGATTGTAACCGAGAGACCTCTGGACTAGGCGCTCCTCCTTGATGCTGACCTCGCCTCCCCCGAGGGCTCCTTGCATCTAAGGGTTTTACTACTGGCTTTTCAGATCTGCCCCAGTTTTCTTAAAGAACTCAGTGGTTTCTTCCTGTAAATATATTCAGAAAGTTCCAGGGTCAATGTCCTATGGAACAATCAATCTCCTAATGTTAGAAAACATCCTGAGTCCAGTTCATGTCGGAAAATAATGGAATAGAGGGAAGGCTGGCTGTTTTAGAGGTCAGTATTTGGGAGTGAGGCAGCAAGCTTCACTGTCAAGATTTTCACACACTCTCCATCTATTGATTTTTAGCCAAGAAAATGTATATGCTCCCCAAAAGAAACACAATTATTGTGTAAATAAAAAAAAAATTAGAGGGCCGTGGATTTAGCTCAGTGATTCTGTCGCCTGCCTTACAGCAATCCCCCCCCCAAAAAAAAAAAAAAAAAAAAAAAAAAAAAAAAAAATTAAGTTATAGCAATATTCTGCAAAAGAGAAAAGATAAAGAAAGCCAAACATTCTAACTCCTTTAGACAACCTTCATACTTCACCCAGGGCCATAAAAAACCTGAATTCTCCTAAGTGAAATAAATAAGTCACACATGTGTAAATACCGAATAGTTTCTCTGGTGTGAATAAACTGTAATAGTACATAAGATCCTAATGAGATAACTGACATTGTGAAATGGGAAGAAAAGGGCTAAAGGTGTAGGGAAAGTGGGAAGGGTAGGGGAAAGGTAAGGGAAAAAATGTGAGAAAATGAAAAGATGGAAATAAAGTGTTTGTAAATGGGGAAGGGAGGAGTGGGTGAAGAGAGGGCAGGGACAAGGGCAAAAAATGAGAACCAAGACCTGTCCTGTAAAGGTACAAGATCCCAATAATGAATATAACTGTACTGTATATCTAAAATGTACCAATAAATTCAATAAAAAACCTGAATTCTGAAGATAAATATATTGGCAGGCACAAGGGCCAGAATAAATGCTGAAATGGCATCCCACACTTGATCCACTTGGTCACAATCCAGTGAAAAGTCAGAGAAACATAAGGATTTCAGACTGTAAGCTCTGAATGCCTAGTAATTTCCTCTTCACAGGCTGAAATTCTCCACCATTCAATAAAAATATTCATATAAGGAAAATATTATATGTAGTCATGTGACACTTTTATTTACAATTGGTTGGCTCCAGACATGTATAGAATATTTGTAAAAGATACTTCTAAGTGTGTCTAGTTGAGTCATGAGAGTGTGACTTGACCAACCAAATCTGCCTTCTGGCCCTTTCCTTTGAGGTTCCTTCCTTACTCTGTCTGGTTCCTGGGTCTCATAAGTTAGTTTCCCTTTTTCTTTACTTCTATTTACCACAATGTTTCTGTACTGAAAGAAATCAAACCCAGAAATAATATCTGAAACAATCATACTAAGTAAATTTTTGCTTCTTAAATTCCCTATCGCAAGTATTTTCCCTTGTAACAACAACAACAAAAAAAACAACAGAATTTATGTTCGGTGTCAGTTCTAAATAAAGTTCCAAATGTTATCAAGTCTTTATTCACAAAACTACTCACAAGAGTGACTGTCTTCACAGATTTCCTTCATGTGTGCATATGTCAGTCTGACTCCAACATCTCTTTGCATATCAAAATTATGTTTTCCCTCCATAATCCATTCTCTTCTATACAGGCAACACTAACAATTCAAACAGACATCCAGCCATGAACTCGTGCTTCAAATCTCCTGCTACAGACCCCTAGACTCATGTTGCACAGTATTTTTCAAGCTGTTGGAGGCCTCCTTTATTACCTACCAATTTCACTTGAAGGTGTTGACTCAGAAGAACTCATGAAAAATATGCACAATAATGTGAAGATGTATGTGAAAAACTTTCTAATAACCCGGAATGTGCTAACACACATCATGATACTTGCATCTGCATATATCCAGATATTCACATGCTTTCTCTTCTATCTGGAAATTAATTCTCCATGTCACTGCTTTACCTGAATCTTAAATACTTAATGCTTCAAGTCTCATTTAAACATTACTACTTCTAGACACCTCCTCTCACTCTTTTGCATGGGTTTTGAACATTACTGAACACCCATGGACACCTGGTTTATCTTATCACACTATTCCAAGCTTTTATGTTCAATGTAAGAGGATTTTCAGAGCCGTGACAAGCTAAAGGCAGAGAGGAACTTTGTTCTTAGTCATTGCTGTCTCTCAGCAGGTACAATATTTCCAAATCAAATGAGTATGAAACTCACAGTAGTGACAATATGAGACAATAAAAAAGGATAAGATGCTATGAAAACATGAAAGAAAGGAGTGTGAAACTAATCACTTCAGTGAAAGGGTGGCATTTTATTTGGAAGTGCTTGAATTACACAAAGGAATTTCCAGGGTAATGTTAAAAACAACACTGATAGCAGAGAAAGCAGTTTCAAGCAAAGGCATATGGGTAAGCTTGAGCATGGAGACAGGGCATCATTAAATGTTGTAGAGCAGTCCTGTTGACCTTAGTATTTGGTCCATGTATTCTTGACTGTTTCTTTGGTTTTTGTCTCCTCTAGAATCAAAGCTACATGACTATCAAGATGACGGAACCTGGTGCCTATTGAAGGCCTTTATATAGACCCTCTCTCTGAAGAGTAACTCTAACTGCTGATCACAACTACAACCCTCTTCAGCTGGAAGTAGCCAGAATGGTCTTCACCCTTTACCCCCTCACAACAGTTAGAGGTACTTCTTCACAGTGGGGAATATTGTAGATAGGTAACTTAATTAGTTATCTTATAGGCAGTTAGACAGGGCCAGCCCAGAAGGAGCCAACATGGAGGACAATCAAGACTCATTCACTGAAGGCCAGAATTGTAAAAGGAGAGAAACTACTATACCCTTGTGATTCTTTATAATATTTTTCAAGAGATTCACAGAGTTTCTTGAGTGAACTGTTGGTTTGCTCTTGATATTGAATTTCCAATTCAAATTTATTTAGTAGTTCATTTACTATAATTACCTCATCTCTTATTTTATTTAATATAGCCTTCAAGGAAGGTTCCTGGCCAAGCTTTCTTAATGACAGAGGTTTTTTTTTAATATTGCCAATCTTTTTTTAAATTAAAGATTGCAAACATACATGACAACAAGAAATGAAGATACTAAATAAAAATCAAATATACTTAATATAGCCTTCAAGGAAGGTTCCTGGCCAAGCTTTCTTAATGACAGAGGTTTTTTTTTAATATTGCCAATCTTTTTTTAAATTAAAGATTGCAAACATACATGACAACAAGAAATGAAGATACTAAATAAAAATTTCAAATATACATATATATGACAGCAAAAAAGGATATGAAATAAACAAAAATTTATGCAACACTGACTGATAATCCAAATACATTATTAGTTTGATATGATCTTCAAACATTATATGTTCTTTCTCATTTTCTTTTCATATAATATTTTTGAAATAATATATTTACAAATAAAACAGTTACATATTATAGTTGAGAAACTCTCCTCAAAATTTTATGATTTATAAACTCCTTGGTTTTATTAATTTGATAAATATCATATACTTGTTGATTATATCACTTAAATTTTTTAACAAAACTTCCCACAGAAAAGAAATATACATATATTTGAAACCCCAAAACAACTGAGTTCACATTTTTAAGATCAGATTTTTCTGTTTCCATTTAATTATATCCCATACTTATTTTTATTGTATTTTTATAAGCATAATGATAGAATTTAACACCAATACATATGTAATATTCTTCCCAAACAAATGACTATGAATTAAATCAAGCATGTAATTCAGAGAAATCATAAGGTTGCCAGAGAACTATCAATATGCCAAATGTGCAAAATCCTACCACATTCATGACCATGTTTCTCATTTAATAGTACACACATATGTGTAAAAACATACCCCCCACACATATACACAATGCATATTTTCTACAATACAATATATACTTTGGCATAACAAAACAGTGCAGTGATGTGTGAAATGATTGTGATTTGTGTGATTTGAGAAAAACAAATATCATCTTTGAGGCAGTTGAAGAATTTATAATATGTACCAGATACCGAATGATATTAATGATTTATTATCCATTTATTTAAGTATAGTTATGATAAAATTTACTTAAATATTAATATTCGTTCTCAGTAGAAAATAGGTACAAAGATATATTGATAACCTAACAAAATTTGTCTTAACAAATTCCAACCAAACAAGCTGTTGTGACAGAAAAGGAAGTTTGCAGAAGGTAGAGATGAGAGGAGAATGACAGATGGACCTTAATACTTTTCAAACTACTCATATATGCAGTTTTCATAAATTCTCAAATAAAAAAGCAAAGAAAATGAGGACCAAAATAACTCTTCAAATTGGTAGACCAACATGTAAAGACAAAGACTAACGTGTTGATAAATTTTAAAAATATGAAATGTAAAGCCTGAGATTTAGCTCAGTAGTGCTGCACCTGCCTAGTCAGAACAACGTGCTGAATTTAACCCCCAGCACCAGGGCAAGAAAAAAAAAAAAAAAGGAGAAAAGGAGCATATATACTTTCTAACATACTCAATTGATTGAAAATAAATTATTTGTTATCTCTTCCTCTTGAATTGTTCCCTTCACAAGGATGTAGTGGCCTTCTTTGTC